ATTCATATGGTTAACAGATACGGATACAGATACAGATAATGCTGTACTCGCTCATCCCTAGTATTAAGGTATGGGGAGATGCAGGGTTTGGAGTTTTTTTTGGATCAGTACTGAAATCACTAGAAACTCCAGTTCTAGTGAAGTGCTTCTCATCTGCCAGCTGCGTACTTCAAAAGTATGAAGCACTCACTCAGATTATTCTTCATGTATAAAAATGTGGCAAATTTAGTAACTATTTTTAACTTAGTAACACAGCGACGCTCAAAACCAGTAACGTAAGAACTGAACGCAAAACATCGATGTCGGCGATGTGGCTGCAGCTTGTCAAGCTCTTTACTTTCTTTATTTGCACAATGTTATACTGAGGCTGCTACTGGCATCACCTCAAGATCCAGAGCGAGCAGAGAGGCCTCTGCTATGAGCCACATGGCACAAACTCCTGAGTCACATGATGGGAAACTTGAATGGAAAGCAGAGAAACAGAGCTTTAAGTGTTAGATGGTTTCGACCATGGTTTATAAACAAGGATTCTTTCAGCCACAAAGGAGATGTCAGCCCAAAAAAGCAAACAAAAATCAGCAAAAAAAGAACAGAACATCGCACAACAGATATTCGTGCCAATTTTGGACATAAACATAACTGCAGTATTTCATCTCCACCATGGGCAGAGAAGGCTTAGACTTTGAGAAGGACTCTATGGCAGAGGTACAGTCTAAAATGATGGAAAAACCAATCCAGAAATCCCACTCAAGAATAGATTTGTGCTTCCTTCTTGGATCTCAAAGGCCTGGTCTGCAAGATGCTAAAGGTACTGACAGGACCATAGTGCTACTGAACCACAGGAAAACCAGGACAGTACTGTGGGACAGGAAGGAGAGACAAGAAGATGAGATTAAATGTATAAAAGGTGCAATGGCCGGTTAGCACAGAGGAAGAGATCATGACGGTGGGGGACAGGTTTGTTCTGGCTTTCTGTTAACACCTTTAAAATCCCAATTCACCTGGAAGAGGTAAACATCTCCATAAGCGTTGCTCAGACAGAAGACATTCTCCTTCTTTGGGTGCTCAGGGACGGCCTGCACGATGCTGCCCTCGGCGAAGAGGGCGTAGTGAGGGGCGGCGTCCTGCCCTTCCAAGCTCTTTCCGAAGCTCTCGTAGAACAGGAGCGTGCAACCTGAGGGAGATGGAGGCAGCAATGCTGGGAAAGCATGGAAGGCCTCCTTCTACAACTGGGCAAGTCATACACAACACTGGCACATATACACACACACGCAGTGCCTTATATGTAAGCCTGCATATAAGGACTGGGAAAGGCTGATTCTATGGGTATCCCCCACAATGGGGGGGGGGGTTCACCTCCCACTCCCACCAAATGGTTGTTAATAAATCCAAAAGGTCATATCATTAAGCATGGAGGAGCCTTCAGCTATAAAAGCCATGGGCTCAGCTTTGAACATCAGAGGCACAGCCTCTGAGGGGTAACACCTCTGTGGCCATGAGAGCAGCTCAGGAGAGAGAGCCGGGGTACAGAACCTGCTGCAATAAGCTGTTAGGTGCAGTTTATATTTTGGGAAAGACAGCGATGAGCAAGACGCAATGTGGATGATGGTGGATCATCATCATCATCATCATCATAATCCAATGCTGGCCCTGGTGAGGTTCAGAAATCTCCCGTGTCAACTGCAGAGTTTCAGTATTTGAAGTTCCTGTTGGCACTGCATAACCATGCCATTAGAATAAGTGCATTTAAACGATACAAGGCCTGACATGTCAGACATACAGCCAGAAGATATGACATCACCACAGGACATCATGGTGACAGAGCTGGTTACCTGCGCTTGGGCTGCCCCAATGAGTCACATCGCTCACCTTTGAGGGTGACCCAGTATCGCCTCCACCGCCGTCGCGGCACGAGCTCCAACTTTCTGTCCTTGTGTAGGGTGATGAGCGCTTTGAAGGACAGCCAGCCGGCTCGCCGCACCAGGCCGCGTTCCTTCTCCAGCAGCAGGTCCAGCTGCTCCAAGGAGCCACCAGAGCCGCTGCTGGTCTCCTCGGTCTCCTCGCTGGGCTCCAGCTCATCTGTCCCATGGACTGTCTCCAGTTCCTGCATGAAGGTCTCGTAGACATTCTGCCTGAAGGCTCCGCGATCGTCGTCTTCGCCTCGACGGCGACGTGTCGGCAGAGTGCTGGCGTATGTGGAGCCGGGGCTTGGGGCTGCTTGGTAGGGCCCCAGGTACCAGGGCAGGGACGGGGAGCTGTCCATCTGCACGTCCACGCCGCTGTCCAAAGACTCTGGGTCGTTACTCTGCGGGGGGGAGGGAATCAACAAGGCAGTAAGAGGTCAGAGGTCATCCTTAGCTGCCAATATGCTTGTGTCGACATCAATCCGGTCAACAGATCAGCTACATAAAATGATTTACAGACACGTAAAAAGAATTTAAAAGCCCTGTGAGAACCCATTCACAACCCTGTCATTCGTCTAGCTGCCAGAGTGAGTGTTTCACAGTCATGTTTGTGTATCCAAGGCAAGCAGAATACACAGAGAACACATGTGATTTGGCAGAGCTGTCGCTGCAGTGCTAACCTGCACTGGTTACTGGTCACTCACTGGAAGCTCAGCATAGCTGCCTAGTATGGCTCCTTGATAGCTGTGTGCTTATGATTTATCTGCCCACTTATATGTCACTTGTTTGGCTGATGCTTTTGTCCAATGTAAATTGTTTTCACTGAGCCCACGGGGCAGGCTGCACTATGATGAAGCAGGCATATTCACGCCAAAACGTGCTCAGTTCAGGTCTTTGAGGAAGCTGACTAACCGGACAGCATTCTAGGTATCTGGCATAAGTAAATTAAACTTCTCTGTTTTTTTTAACAACAGTGATAAATAGTCAGATGTAATGTCTTTTAAAAATGTTAACAGAAAAAATACAAATTTTGCATTATAGTCTATTACAATTACAACTAATTAGTGTAAAACTTGAGTACCTGATAAGCTGATGTTATCACAGCTGTATGGACTAAAATCGAGGGGGGAAGCAAACAAAAAACAGACTATGAATGGATAAACTTCAGTCACAAAGAGGCTGAAGGAATCTGTATGGATGGGGAAGGGCTGGGCATTTGCATGGGCATCAGCTTTGAAAGAACAGCACTGAAAGGGCAGCCGTCAGCAGAGCTGGACATGGGGGCAGGTCCCAGACGGCGGGGAGTGAGCGAGCCCGGGCACACACGCTCCATAGGAGCGGAACGGGGGGGGGCTTAAGCCCGCAGGCACTGATAGGGCCCCCAAGGAGCTTTGTGGGTCTTTGTCAGTGACAGAAACAATAACGCAGCACCTGCTCGCAGCACGCTTTGGGTGCGAGGCCTGAGCAGAGGGCGTGGAGGGCAGAGGGCGGCTGGGCAGAGGGACACCTCCACATCTCCAGCTGGCCCTCGTTTGCATGTCCACTGAGAGGCCGCAGGGAAGCTCCCTTTCCCTGGGCAGCTGGAGAGGCAGGATGTGACTGCTGCCCACAAGGTGGTGGATTTAGAGAAAAGACCTGGCTTGCATGGGAGAGGCCTACTGACAGTACACAAAGAATGAAATAAGAGGAGAGGGGTGGAGAGGAGAGGGGAGGGGGAACCCTGTCCAGGAATGGAGGAGAGAAGGAACCCTGGTCAGGAGAAGAGGAAAGGAAAGGAGGAGCCCTGCCCAGGAGGACAGGAGATAAGAAATCATGCCCAGGAGGACAGGAGACAAGAGGAAATGAGAAAGAGAGGAAGAACCCTGCCCAGGAGAAGAGGAAAGGAAATGAGGAACTCTGCCAAAGAGGAGCGGAAATGGGGAATAACGCCCAGGAAGATAGGAGAGGAGAAGAGGAACCCTACCCAGGACGAGAGGAGAGTGGGACCTAAGCCCAAGAGGAGAAGAATGGAGAGGAGGAACCCTGCCCAGAAAGAGAGGAGAGGAAAGGAGGAACCCTTGCCATGAGGAGAGGGGGAACCCTGCAAAGGAGGAGAGGAGAAGGGGAACCATGGCTAGGAGGAGGAGAAGGGGAACCTACAGATGGTGTGCTGTTGCCATTACAAGAATGTAAGAAATAACTTGCTACAGCCTTTGTATGTTAAATGTCACCGTTTAATATTTTGGTCGGTTTTCTGATAATGGTAAGTTACCTGTTTGGGGTGTGATATGCTATACATCACAGGGGAAGGGCGTGAGAGACTGTGGGGTTTTACCTGATGTAGGAATGGACATCAACGGGAATACAAAATGAATTTCTTTCTTTAAATTACTTTTGTAAAAGGATTTGATCCGATAAAACCCCTGATCAACCTGTCGGTGCTGGATTCAAATGCAGGTCTCAAATGCACTTGGCCAAACACTGAGACACACACAATGAGCCACCCTCAGAGTAAATAACCAGTTCTAATCAGTTCTTCGCCAACCAGCCCTGAAACACCTGAGTAAATTTACAGAAGTCCTGAGCATCCATGTACACAGCATTTTCTCTGTTGATACAGAGAACAGGCCCCTGCTGTCAGGGCGCATCATGTTTCAAGGAGAGACTAGTGTTAGGCGGTGTACCGGTTATGAATTTTTCCAATACCGCAATACCAGTTTAAATAGCCTACGCAGCGTACAGAAGGTGGCGCAGCTGAAAACTGTTTAAAGGGGACCTATTTCACTGCTGCACCACTAAAAATGTACCTCGAAAGATCAGAAATGGAAGATATAGCTGACGCTGGAGTTAAAAATAATGAGATACAGGTGTTGTAAAAAAAAAATTAAAAAAAATCGATTTTCAGATACTAATCGATATTAAAAGTTAGCATCTGATTAGATACTCATTTTCACCATTATTGATGCCAAGAGGGCGGTTTTCGCCTCATTCCCCACACTTCACACAGCACCCATACAGTGCAGGCACACACACACACACACACACAGCCCCTCCCCTCCTCTCAATAGCCACTGAACGCATTCAACCGAACATGGCATATGCTGCTGTTGAAGGCACTTCGCGACACGAAAGTGCCATTTGGAAGTATTTTGCAGACGAGCATGGAAAGGCTAATGATGTCGATAAGCCTCTATGCAAACAGTGCTACAAAGTTGTGGCAACGAAGTCAAATAGCACGTCAAACTTGGAGAAGCATCTTAAAGAACGACATCCTGGTCTTCATGTTCCAGCAACACTGAACTATTAAACACTTATGAAAAATATTAACTTGGCCAGCGCACACCTTAACATAAACTGTTTATCTATAAGCAGTTTGCCAACAAATACATTAGCCGTATGTTATCATTAAGGTAGCAGATAGATGCAATGGGTAATAATAATATAGTTAATGTAGGAACAATGCAAAAATGTGTCCTGGAAAATCCCGTAAAACAGGGATGCCCAATCTTATCCGCAAAGGGCCGGTGTGTATGCAGGTTTTTGGGATAACCTGTAGGTCAGCTGTTCAAACCCAGGTGTGAGGACTCTTCAGCCAATCAGTCCTCTAATTAGTAATCTAATTAGGGAGTTGCAGCGAAAACCCGCATACACAGCAGCGCTTTGCGGATAAGATTGGCCACCCCTGCCGTAAAATGTAGTAAACACCCAGTCATACTTAAAAAAAAAAAATAAAAAAATACCGTTGTATACCGTGAAACTGATATAACTTTGAAAAATACCGTGATATCAATTTTTGGTCATACCGCCCAGCTCTAGGAGAGACTGACCTGAGGAGAGGGGAATGGTAGGAGACGCTCTATCACAAATGCAGAATCAGGAAGTGGAGTTCAATAAAAGCCCGACCGGTGCATACATCCCCTGCAATATGAGGCCCTGGGTCTCTGGCCTCCCCATACATGTGAGGCCCTGTGTGTGAGGCGGGCAGTGGGTGGCAGCCGGTACCTGCAGCCTCCTGCGCTTGCGGCTCAGGCTCCCTGTCCAGTCGCCGAGGCGTCGCATGCGGCCCTTCAGCAGGCTCTTTCTGCTGCTGCCGTCAGTGTCGGGTACAGCTTTGCGGCAGGGCAACGTGTGCGAGCTGAAGCCCCCAGGCTGGGGGCCCGACTCCTCGGCGCCTCCTCCTGACACTGAAGAGCAGGATGTGACCCTGGGGTCGCCGTAGAGGTCGGCGAAGGTTGTGGGCGTCAAGCTGTGGAACCCCCTCAGGTCGCCCTGTGAGGCCAAAGGGCCCCCAGAAGGGGCAGAAGGGCTGGCATCGATCATGGTTCTGCCCCCGGCGCTGCTTTCCTCCATAGGGCCCGATGAGCTCGCACTGTCCCGGGTGTCCTCGATGTGTCCCGATGAGCAGGACCTGTCCGCATCACTGAGCTCGCCTGTGGCCCCCCAGGGCGAGTCGTACCAGGAGCCCTCTGAGCTCAGCGAGCTGCCCTTGCTGGTCCGGAGGGGGGGCGCGTTTGCCTCCACGTGGTCTGACGCCCCTGCCAACCGCAATAGGTGCACTGGCCCAACGGGTCTATCCAGACCGGTGTCACGCTCTGCGTACAGCACTCCAGTGGCGTCCCCGCCTAGGTCCCACGGCGACGCAGTTCCACTCGAGGCATGGTAGCGGTCACAGCGGTCAGCGGTCAGCTCCCCAAAACAGCTATACTGGCTGTGCACAAAGGGAGCCCGCAGTCTGCCGCCTTGGCCAACCTCACGGCCCCTCCACCAGCTCTGTGGTGACAGCACCTTCCTCTTAGTGGGCCGGAACCTCAGCGAGCAGGGCTTCGGTCGCCGGGGTAATGAGAAGCCGGTCCCCGCTGCGCTGGGAACGGCTGGCTGGCTGTCGCTGTTCCCCATGCTGATCTGCAAGATGGACAAATGTGGCAGGTATGTTAACGTTGGGCGCTTAGCTATTATAAGGAACATGCCCAGATCTCCTGGCTGCATAAGTAGGAAACAAGCAGAGTGACAGCCCCAGGGGACGGGGCCCATGGGGCCCACAACGGAGGAGTCAGGTGTGACATCCCAGATTTACAGGCTGATGGCACATGCATAAGCTGCATCCTTGTCGTCTGTGATTGATTAATTCTCCTGTGCAAAGCACCTCTCTGTAATGGCTTTTTGTACGTGTATTCTGCACACATACTCACACTAGAACCTTCTATAGAAGCTACTCAATGTGTGATGCAATCAGATATCCTGTGTAAATCGACCATGCCGGTAAAACCCCGGATCAGCAGCAGGGGGTGCCATGTGGCCACGGTGGCAGGTCAAACATGGACGGCTCATTTACCGGCTCGAGGTTTGGTGTTCAGCAGAAATAGCAAGGCTAGCGCAGTACTGGGGGTCTGCTGCCTCATCTGCAGGGGAGGCACAGAGAATGTGAGCCAGTTACACAGTGCCTCCCACGTAACCCCCCCCCCCTCCCCAGGCTGACTGGGCTGCTGTGCTCTGCTCCTCCAGGAGTCGCACCATCAGCAACCGTCGCAGAAACGCGCCAAGTCCAGCGATTTCCCAGAAGCCTCCACACCCTCAGGAGATGGGCCTGACCGACGGACAGGAACCGGCCCAACTTAAACCCACACCAATGGAGTCAAGCCTCTGCACATCAGGTGTAAGCAGGAAGCCAACCAGGAAGCAGCAGGGCAAGTACATTGATATCATCAGCACTGGCGGGTTTAACCGGCCCATCTCTTTATTATGAGGATGATTTATAAGCTGGAATATGACGACCTCATCTTTGCAAGAAGTTCGATACAGATAAGAGATGAATGAGAGATAAACCCTGCCATGTAAACTTGCTGGAATCTCCTTAACTAAGGCATTTCAAAACACATAATTCACTGAGGAAGGAAATAAAATCTCAGCATAATTGCTGGGCAGCTTGATGCCACCTGTGCCCAGCACAGACACCAGCCCCAGGACAAACCTGCCATTTTCTGATGGATATGGGGGGAGGGGACTGCTTGCCCCCCCCCCCCCCGATCTGTCAATTTTAACACAGAGCTTTAATAAACTGCAGCTTAAGTTCTCCGCCAGTAGAAGGATGTGTGGACTTTGTGGAGCTGTGAGCTACATAGCGAACACTGGAATGCCGAGCGCCTGCATAACAGGGCGTTCAGGGATCCTGACCGTGACACCTGGCCAGTGACACCCCCCCAGCACCCCATGATGCTGTGGCTGCCCACCAACTCACACAAAGAGCTCCGCCCCCATTTGTCTCTCCAGCACACCATCTGCTGCCCCCCCTACCCCCAGCATTCTTCAGCTCCTGCTGCACAAAGACATCCATCATGACCTCTGACCTGCACCACAGGCTTAGATACCAGAACGTTCCGGGGCTGGAAGAGGGCCACACTTCTGGTGTAAACATAAGGGCGCCCCCATTGAGGATGGTTTCTCTGTTCCCATAGGACAGTCACAGCCAATGGTGTCTGAGGAATCGGTGGTTTGACATGAGTGTCACCAAATTAAATCTCCTGGCCCTTGTAATGGAAGGGTGGAGGCACTCTGCTTTCTTTATAAAAAAAATAAAAAATAAAAAATACAATTGATTTTTATCTATAATGAAGAGAATGAAAACTGAAAGAAAAACACAAGATGTAGTTTGGCAGCAATGTGTATCCATGAGAGAAATGCTGATCCTCCCCTCACAAGCTGTCAGATGATAAAAGCGCCTTTAATGTATGAAGTTGCTTATCCTTATCATCCCAAAGCCGGCTCCAGTCCCTCTGTACAGCAGTTCGGTTTCTCCCTGACTTTTGGGTATTGCAAACCAAGGCAGCCCTCATCACCTCTCCCATTCCTACGCAGATCCCCCTTTCCGCTTCCTCGTCACCTTCCTGAGCCCCGCAGTCTTCCATGGAAGGGATCAAGGGAAGCACCTTTGCAAGCACTGCGATGCCGCATGGCTGCATGGAGTCCACAGAACCATCTTACAATATGGTGCTCAGCTCACTGCTGCTGCTCTGCTCTGCCTCCGGATTTTAAAACATGGAACCGGCCAAATGTGACGGAATGAAGCAGATCCGTGTGAAACGCGGCATCATGCTTATCAAAACGACACCACAGCCCCCAGAGGAAAAAACATGATTATAAGCTCGGTAAATAAAGCTGCCGTCTCCAAAATCCGCGTCGAGCGGTGATGCTGTCTGGCAGGCGAACGATGCTGGCAACTGAGCCACTGCGTTGAGACCCGACCCAGGGGAGACAAAGAGAGGGAGCGAGGCAGTGCTAAGCAACGTCCTGCATGTGGCCGGGAGGTGCCACACAGAAAAGGCGGGCGCAGAAGCGGTCAGACGTGTACGCGGCTCCGTAACAAAGCCGAACAAAGGACGACATCAGCACATCATGCAGCAGGCAGGGACGGCCACCTGGGGGGGGTCTTACCTCCAAGCCGCAGCGAGCGGTTTCAGCACACGCTCTGGCGAGTCCCGGCGCTGGCGCCGCTCAGTGACTGGCAGGTGGAACAGAGGCAGCGAGGCACCTTGTGCCGGCAGCCTCACTTGAGGGTGGGTGGGAGGGGGGGGGGGGGGGGGGGGGGCACACCACGTGCAGGAAGAGAGCAGGAGAGTGAGAGTGAGAGCGAGAGTGAGAGCCAGGCACCACCCCCCACCCCCACGAGACATGGAGCTGGACTGGTGTGGAGGTGCCGAAGCGATTGGGGCGTCACGCCGCAGGGGAAACGCAGTGACCCCCACGTGCCGCCATTACCACAATTACCACTACAGAGGCCCGGGGGAGGGGTCAGCTATATATCTGTATCATCATCTGTGTGTGCGAATGCAAAAGGAGAGAGAGCGCAAGAGAGAAGAAACTCACAGAAAATGGAGAGCAGGGGGGAGGGAGGGAAAGAGAGAGAGCAAATGTGTGCAAGAAATCCAGTGAAAGAGGGAGAAAAATCGCAGTTCCAGCCACAGGGAAACCACTGCTTACATGTTAAACCCCACAAGAGCGCCAGGGGGCACAGAATGGTTGCATTCTCTGGCAATAAAGGCCCTCGCAGGAAGGGCGTGATGCTCTGCACCGTCATAAATGACAAGCACCGTCAGAAACAGTGCCACAATTACAGTTACAATATTGAGGGCTGGTTATTGTAAGCCGATCCCTAACAAGGCTTCCAGAGGGGGCAAAAAAGGGTCACGAAGGTAGGAGAATGAGAAGGTAGGAAGGCCCTGGCACAGACATGCATCGTTCATATTAAGGGGGGGGGGTCCTAGCCCATAGAGAACAATGTGCTCAAGCTCCCCTTTAAAAAAGTAAGAGCCCCAATTAACAGCCTCAGCCTGAACTCCAGGGAGGAAGTTTAAAAACCAGGCCGACATCCAATCTGAACGATCCCCAGGAGTACCTGAATCCTGGCGTATGGCGGAGTACCCGCCTCTCACTTTCCATAAGTACCCATCAAGGCTATCCAGGGCACAGGAGTCGGAACGATCCAGCCCCACCTCTTTCTCAGTGTCAATCAGGCTGAGAAGTGCCTGGAAGTGAGCAGCGTGCTATCAATGGGCGGTTATGGGTGTGAATCGGTCAGCCTGCCAAGCAGCATTCCCGTCATTCCCCAGGATGGCAGGCACACACTTGTGGACGGAGCGATGGGGCCGGCTTTTGGAGATCAGAGCCACAGTGACACACAGGCCAACTGCACAGCCAGTTAGTTGCCGGCCTGGCAAAGCCTGTGTCGGCAATTCTGCCAGCTCTCTTTGGGCCTGCACCAGCCCCCAGGAGAACAAGCAACCTGTAATTACAGTTGCCCCCAATAACTACTTAACTCCACAAATGCGGGTTTGAGGCTCCCAGGAGACCAACCTGAAGGGGCTGCTGATCACTGGACCCACCAGCAGGCTGCCATCACACAAATAGCCAGCCTGCAAAAAGGCAACGGTGGGAACCAACAGAGATCCACTCTGCGAAGTGGAAACAGAGCAGGCCAAACAGGAAAAGGGGAATTCAGTTTCTGCCAGCAGTAAAATAAATGCACAGGGATTTTTTCCCCCTAATTTGCTTGCCACGTTTTTGTTTTTGACAGACTTATGGTTTTACCTTTTAAGGTGAGGATGTGTATAAAAACACACCGTGTATCTCCTTCTGAAGGCAGAGCAACAAAGGAGTGGAACCAAAATAATGCTGGAACTGGGAAAGGAGGATACATTTTAACATGACGGTCCGGAGCCCTCACTCCAAAAACCACCAAACGGCTGACTTGCGTTTGTGTTTCCATTGTGATGGGATACAACTGGAAAAGAAAAACACCTCAATGTTAGAGGGAGAGAGGTTTTATGTATGATGTTCTCTGTACGGAACGTCCTGGTTTTCCACTCTGCATTGTGAGTGACAGATTAAGTCCAGGTTTTTGGGGAATTTATCTCTGCGGTCACTCAGATTTACCTCATCTCACATAACTGCTGGGGGAAGAGCATGCAAGTCAAACACTCGCAGGAAAGAAGGTGGAATGGGTTTCCGGGTGCAAATCTGATTTACGGCCCAACACAGTAAAGATGAAAAGGCTGTATAATAAAGCCAACGGTGTGATCCATTCTGCCCCTGTTTTCAGATAAAATGACACTAGGGCTTGTATCTGAAGATCCCAATGACACACATCAGTACACAAGCTGCAAGGAAGGTGCAAGGAGCCATCACTGGATCTCGAGCCCAAAGTCAGGTCCTGCTGTGGCACAGCCTGAATCCCGCTGGAGACTGGGAAGGAAGGCCGTTTCCCCCTGGGATCTCACCCAGAGACCACACCTGCTCTGTCAGGAAGTTGACCGACAAGCTCTGTAATCATATCCTGGTTATTTACATTTCCCTGGATGAGTGTGACTGCTAAGAGGGGCGTGCAGATTTCATACTGACTGGGGGTTGCA